TGTGTGTGTGTGTGTGTGTGTGTGTGTGTGTGTGTGTGTGTGTGTGTGTGTGTGTGTGTGTGTCTTCTTTACAGACATACTTTGATTAAAACTCTAACCAGCATCTTTTCTTGTCCCTCAGAACTTTGAGGAGCTCATTTCTGATTTCAGAGACATATTTAGGGAAGGGGAGTCTCCGTCTCTGATCCAGCAGCACCTGGAGGACCCAGACTACATCAAACTGTGGTTCCGGGTCAAACTGCTGCCCCTCCTGCCCGACGTAGATCCAAACCTCCTCTACTGTCTGAGCACCAAGAACTTCTCCTGCCCCGCTTACCAAACCCTGTAAGTTCACAGCTTCTTTTGTTTTGTTTTTGTCAGTGGCCCTTTCTGTTTTAGTGTGTAGCTTCATCACATCATCATCATCCTCACTCTGACTCTATGCTGCTGTGTGCAGGGTGGCAGCTCTGGATGAACACATGAGTTTAATCAATGCTGACGTCGTGTACAGTTACAACATCTACCAATATTTCATCTACCCATTCTTGGTGCAGCGCAACAACTCCGGTAAGAAAAATATCTGCAATATGAAAAAAAAAACAGCAAAATGACACCATCTTTTTTAAATGAAGTAAAGATTTATATGATGTACATGTTTTTGCACACACATGAACAGTAAAAGTATTTTTGCTTCTTTTTCAGTTCAATTTATTCATTTCATTAAAACAAAACAAATACTTTTATATACAATATACAATAAAAAGAAAAATATAAAAAGAAAAATGAGAGAATATATATATACATACTGTATATATATGCATATATGTATTTCAAAATCACAAATAAAATGAATTGAAAGGCAGCAGAGAGAAGAAAAAAGCCTTATAATATCTGCCCCTTTTTTCTAGAATAAGTTCATATAACAAAAAAAATCTATTATTGACAAAACAAAAGACAAGAACATCTAATCCTTCTAGAACAACAATTTAAAAAGATACACCTTATACTGTTTCGTATTTCTTTAACAATCCAACTTTTATCTAAATGTACATAATGATCCTGCATGTTTTACATCACTCCCCAATTTATTCCATAGTTTTATTCCTTGAACTAAAGTACACCGCTCCTTCAAACTAGTTCTGAATTTGGGTTTTACAAATATCTCTGTCCCTTTAGGGTTACAACAACTCTTTCTCTTAACAAATTTTACATGTATGTTTAAAGGTAATGTGTTTTTGTGGGCCTTATACAGAACCAGTAGAATATTATAATCAACCAAATCAAAGAACTTCAATATTTTCAATTTACAAACTAATGAATTTGATGGGTGACGACAAATGTTTTCCAGTAATAATTCTCACAGCTCTTTTTTGTARTAMAAAGCACAAAYGAAATATCACATTAGAATGTAGAGTTAAAAATAAAAATCAGCTTTATTTTGGACAAACGTGTGATAATAGGTGAAATATCACTGGCACAGACTGTTCTGTCATAATGTTTCCACTGAAGTTACTAATTTTATTACTTTAACTCATATGTTTACCACAGGGGGTTTTTGACAACTATATTTCTTGTCAATGTCTTTGATTTTAAAAAAGTGTAAATAAATAAACACGTGACATGATTCTGTTACTGCACAAAATATTTCAGACTTCCAGTGCATCTCTTCAGCCAATCAAAGTGCAGAATGGCTGACAAACAACTTTGGGTCCTTCTTAAGTTTTGCCTCCATCACTGACTTCTACGAGCTGAATCCTTATTTCTCTGGAGTAAGTTTGAGAAACAGGCTGAACACTCTGGATGGTTTTGTTTAAAATCTGTTTCGTTTAAAAGAAAGATGATCTGTACATCTATAAATCTGTGGATAATCAGGTTTCTTGTCCTCTCTTCATCATCTCAGCTGGAGGCTCTTCCTGCTCTGACCACTAAGCAGCTGGCAGAGCTGCTGCTGCTGCCTCTCCGGACCCCACCAGAAAAAGACGTCGTCATCGACCGCGTCTTTGACTTTCTGTTGGAGTCGCCGACGATGTGGAAGTTTTCAGATGTTCTGCTCTACGTGGTTGGGCTCGCCGGAGAGGTAACGACTTTTACCAAGACATAAATGATCATTAAACTTTGCAAAATCATTGAAGATTGAGTGTGAAACTTCTTCTCTCAGGTCAACCCTCCGTGTAGTGTCTACAGACAAATGTGAGTATGTTCAGATGTGTTTCCTTCAATACCTTGTCCACACCTGGAAATGATCAAAACAATAAGTTTATTGTTGATGGATTTGTTGAAAACTGAACTAAACAGTAAGAACGCAGCACGGTGGTGGTGGCATCGTGCTGTGGGGCTGTTTTTGCTCCCAGTGCTTCTGATTTGTTGCGTAAAGTGGATGAAGCAACAAATTCTACACCTCCAATCAACAGCTAGACGATTAAAACTTATTAAAACACATTTGGGTGTTTTATGTAAATGTCTTCATCGCTCCAGTTCCATCACATGTGACCCAGACCAGCAAAATGAGCTGTGATCAGCTCAGGCTGCAGTGAAAAGAAAAATATTGAGGTTTTAATTGCTCTGTTTCTGAACTGTAAACATATTCATGAAYATGAGAAAATTAATTTTGTTCTTGTTTGTTTATGCAGTTGTTTTGATTTGTTCTGTTTGCTTTGATTTGCGTGACAGTTTCGACCGAATGTACCGAGCCATCCCGTTTGTATCTATGGACATGGAACCGGTCATCTGGGCTCGCATCGATGATCTGATCAACATTGCACCAGAAGGTGTGTGTTGTTGTCAAATAAACACACATAAACACACACACACACACACACACACACACATTTGTGTCTCTCTCTTAGTAATGACATTGCATTGACTTCCGTTTATTTCTGCATGTAACCCGGACTTTTCCCCTAATCATTACCAAGCTTAACTCTAACACCCCATCAATTCACACTTTAGCCATAATTTTAACTCCTAACCCACCAGTAACGTTTCACCTTATTAAGACCTGACTTAAGACCAGACAAACTGGTTCATTAATATTTCAGGGAAAAAAACTCATCACAACATAATAAAAACAAGTGAACATTCAACCTGACCAAATGCATCAAATGCTAAATTAAAATATCAATATTATTTTTTAACAGTGCAACTATTATAACATTTTTTGTTGATGGAGTATTTTATGCTTTGTTTTGGACAGAGTGTGTACCACTGAACGTCATGGTGAGTGTTCCTTTTTTCTTTTTATAATTATTCCTCTGAATGTATGAAATTCCTTTCACCAATGCTTGTTATCTTTAAATGTTGTTCAAATGTTTCAAAACCTGTTTTTTTTCCCCACAGTGCCCAGAGACTCAGGTCAACGGTAAGATTCCTGCCGCACATAAAAGTTTCCTTTATTTTTTTATTTTTTGTGTTACCGTGGCTGATTTAATTTCCCATCTGCTGTTTGACAGAAACCATCATCTGCAGTGGCATCGACAGGTATTCCATTTGCAATTATTTGTCGCTGACAATTAAAACAAACGTAAATAACATGTGTGATGACATGCCTCTTCCTGTGTCCTGACAGCTCTGATCTGCGGTCACACCTGAACACATCTGTGCACGTTTCCTGCAACTTTACCCTGGAGAAATACGCTTGTACAGAGGTGACTGTCTGCTCTAGAAACTGCCAAATGTTCTGATTTCATCACAGAGGAAATAATCAACTTTACAATTGGTTAATGCACACAGCTGGAAAGCTTCACAGCCAATCAGCTGGCCTCTCTCGTGAGCTGCGATCTGCCTGGGAACAGCAGCCGCTCCAAAGTCCTGTGGAAGTTGCTGCTCACGCACCTTTCCAGTGTTCTGGACCCGACACTCGACATCCTGGCAAACGTGGTCGGTGGCTTCTCGTCATTATCCTTTGCCGTCTAGAAAATAAACAAAAGCTTTTGTTAAAATGTAATCATTTTTTAAATCTGTCTTTCCTACAGTCTGTTGGGATGATGGGACCAGCAGCGCAGGAGATTCTGGATGTGATCGGGGAGCTCAGGTTGTGGCTGCTGACCGACGAGCAGCTGAGGGACCGCGAGATAATCCAGCTGTGGTTCTCGGAGCGTCTGAGGGGCTTCCTGCCGTTTGCATCAGGAAGGTTTCTGCACTGTCTGAACAACAGGAACATCACCTGTCAGTCATACCAGCAGATGTAAGTGTCTGTCAGCACACCGTCGTACATGAGTGTTAATAACCTGACCTCATAACCTTAATAMATTCATTCATTCATTTTCAAAAATTCAATAAAGAAGCCCTGGATTCCTTTTTGTCTTAAAGGCATTGCTTTGACTCTTATTTCAAGCATTTCTATGCTTTAATTTTCCAGTTTTAGATGTGCTATTGAGAAAAAATCTAATCCTGTTGTAAAAAAGGTCAACTTTTGTTCCAGACATCAGCTTACTATTACTGAAATATTTACATTGTGTTATTGACTTAATAT